TGCGGTGTGTAAACATTTCCACTAGGGAGACAAAGGCGGTCGGGCGTGGTGCTGGCCACCCACCCCCTCGTGTACCGTTCCGGCCTTCATAGGTGATCGCTAACAGCACTTGCCCCTACAGTCTGTTAAGGCTATACGGGGGATCTTTGTCTTTATGGTGGGGGAGGTAGTAATGGAGGTGGTGGTGCAGGAGGTGGTGGAAGTAGAGATGGTGGTGGTAGTGATGGTGGTGGTATGGTGGGGGAGGTAGTAGTGGAGGTGGTGGTGCAGGAGGTGGTGGAAGTAGAGATGGTGGAGGTAGTGATGGTGGTGGTATGGTGGGGGAGGTAATAATGGAGGTGGTGGTGGTGCAGGAGGTGGTGGTGGTAGAGATGGTGGTGGTAGTGATGGTAGTGGTATGGTGGTGGAGGTAATAATGGAGGTGGTGGTGCAGGAGGTGGTGGAGGTGGTGGTAGAGATGGTGGTGGTAGTGATGGTAGCGGTATGGTGGTGGAGGTAGTAATGGAGGTGGTGGTGCAGGAGGTAAGGAGGTGGTGGTAGTGGTAGTGAGGGTGGTGGAGGTAGTGATGGTGTTGGTGGGGGTAGTGATGGTGGAGTTAGTGATCGAGGTGGTCGTGATGGTGATGGAGGTGGTGGTGGTGAAGGTGGTGGAGGAGGTAGTGATGGTGGTGGTCGAGGTCAGGATGGTGATAGTGATGGTGGTGGTGGTGGTGAAGGTAGTGATCGAGGTGGTCGTGATGGTGATAGTGATGGAGGTGGTGGTGGAGGTGGTGGTGGTGGTGAAGGTAGTCATGGAGGAGGTAGTGGTGGTGGTGGTGGTGGTGGAGGTGGTGGAGGTGGTGGTGGTGAAGATAGTCATGGAGGAGGTAGTGATGGTGGTGGTGGAGGTCAGGATGGTGATAGTGATGGTGGTGGTGAAGGTAGTGATGGAGGAGGTCGTGATGGTGGTAGTGGTGGAGGTGGTGGAGGAGGTGGTGGTGGTGAAGGTAGTCATGGAGGAGTTCGTGATGGTGGTGGTAGTGGAGGAGGTAGTGATGGTGATGGAGGTGGTGGTAATGGTGGTGGTGGTAATGGTGGTGGTGAAGGTAGTCATGGAGGAGGTCGTGATGGTGGTGGTAGTGGTGGAGGTGGTGGAGGAGGTGGTGGTGGTGAAGGTAGTCATGGAGGAGGTCGTGATGGTGGTGGTAGTGGTGGAGGTAGTGATGGTGATAGAGGTGGTGGTAATGGTGGTGGTGGTAGTGAAGGTAGTCATGGAGGAGGTGGTGTTGGTGGCGGTGTCTTGAAAATACAACCCCCCTACCCCCTCGTTGGTACTGCACAGTAACTCTGTGGTGGATGTGAGTCACGCCACGGGGCGAACGGCCTTTTACAATCTGCCTTTCGCCTCATGGTGCTCGTAGCCACCACAGCGGCCAATTGGGGGCTCTGGATGGGTGCAAGTGGATATTAACCCCTCCACCTTCAACCTGAATACCACTAAACGACGTCGAAAAGTTCTAACCAAGCTTGTACTGAAGGCACCAGGGGGTTCAGGCGTTTGGGAGGTCTCCTGGCCAAACCCCATCAAGCGCGGCCAGGAGACTGAACCCGCACCCTCGGGGTTCCTCCAGAAACGGAAAACAAAGCCGCTCCGAACGTTCACTGTGGAGGGGGAGGCTGCAAATCCTCTGTCAGGAGCTGGACCGGTACCGCCTGGATCTCTGTGGCATTCAGGAGGTCCGGTGGACCGGCTCTGGCTCCTGCCCCCATGAGGGGTGGACAGTCCTCTACTCGGGGCAGCAGACTGCCAAACAACAGGGTGTGGCTCTTCTTCTGAACAAAATAATGAAGGGGACGTGGGAGCGTGGCGTTGAGGTGTGGGAAGCTGTAAGCCCCGGGCTACTGTGGGCTCACCTCCCCATCAAAAAGAGGTGAGGAATGGTGGTGGTGGTGGTGGTTGCTTATGCCTCCACCAAAGATCAACATCAGTGCATGGAAGCATATAAGGCCGATGAGTCAGACACCTATAACCTCCCGTGACAGGTGCTAGCTAATGTGGCCCCTCAGGATCGAGTCATCCTGTTAGGTGACTTTAATGCCCGAGTGGGTCATGATGCAGGCACCTGGGCTGAAGTGATTGGAAGGCATGGGCCAGATCGGCTCAATAATAACGGTAGAAGGCTACTAGACTTCTGTGCAGCCCATGGGCTTGTAATTATCAACATTCTATTCCGGCATCGGCGCATCCACACAACGTCATGGGTGCATGCCGGGGTCCAAGCAAGAACATCTGCTTGAATTTCGATTTAAAGCTTTCGTGACTGCAAGGATTCATCTTCTTTGGTTCTTTCGAGCTTAAAAGACGCTCCAAATCTTAGCAGCGTTAATTGAAGCTCTGTCGTCCCGACAGTTCTGTTCTTTCACCTGAAGAAGGCTACTTGTGTTGTGGCCGAAACGTCATGATAATTTTATTGTCTTATTTTATTTTATTATTTTATTCTCATTCTACGTGACTTTACCAAAAGAACCAAAGAAGAAACATCCGCTTGACTACATAGTGGCGGAACAGCGGGTGCGGGCCCATGTCCTTGACAACAGGACCTACCGTCTTGCTGATCTGCCCACTGACCATCGACTAGTCATCTGTAAGATGCGCCTGGCATTCTTCCACTCCGGTGTTGGGTGTCCCTCTAGGACCCCAATCAAACCCACAGTGGCCTCCTCTCAGCTAGCCGAGGATAGTTGCAAGCAGGAATTTCAACATTGCTTGCGGCTGGGGTTGGCACCGTACACCCCTCCTTTCGATGCTGAGCGCAAACGAGTGAGGTTCAGGACTGTGGATCGTGCAGCTGCAATGGCTGCATTTGGGTATGCGGTCCAGACCTCCCCAGAGACCCTGGTTGAGGGAGCAGATTTCCTGGCGGGTCGCCTGCAAATCCAACCCCGGAGAATGAGGAGGCTTACCCAAGCCTTCGCTCAGAGATTCGGAGGGCCGTGCGGGGCACTGGAAGGATGAGTAGTGGGCGCGGGTTGCTGAGGAGATTGAATCTGTCTGAGTAGCCCACAATCACAAGTCACGATTTTATTCCTTCACCTTTCACCATCCTTAAGGGAAAGAATGGCAATACGATCTCCAACCACCACCCCCCCCCCCCCGCCCCCCCCCCCCCCCCCCCCCAGGAACGGGTTTTCAGGTGTGCTGAGCATTTCCATGAGTTCTTGGGAGGAGGAAAAATCCCTCAACCAAATAAACATCAGCAGGCAAGGTGGGGGTTAACCCTTCTGGGGCTGCTGTGCCTCAAATATTGGAAGAAGTAGTCGCCCCCCTATGAGTGGTGACGTCACCGCCACTTAGTGGCAAACGGCGGATGTTGTTGGTGTCGGTGCTGGTGATGGTAATGGTGGTGATGGTAATGGTGGTGATGATAATGGTGGTGATGATAATGGTGGTGATGGTAATGATGGTGATGATAATAGTGGTGATGGTAATGATGGTGATGATAATGGTGGTGATGATAATGGTGGTGATGATAATGGTGGCGATGATAATGGTGGCGATGATAATGGTGGTGATGATAATAGTGGTGATGGTAATGATGGTGATGGTAATGATGGTGATGATAATGGTGGTGATGGTAATGGTGGTGATAATGGTGGTGATGGTAATAATGGTGATGATAATGGTGGTGATGATAATGGTGGTGATGATAATGGTGGTGATGATAATGGTGGTGATGATAATGATGGCGATGGTAATGGTGGCGATGATAATGGTGGCGATGATAATGGTGGTGATGATAATGGTGGTGATGATAATGGTGGTGATGATAATGGTGGCGATGGCAATGGTGGTGATGGTAATGGTGGTGATGGTAATGGTGGTGATGATAATGGTGGTAATGATAATGGTGGTGATGGTAATGATGGTGATGATAATGGTGGTAATGATAATGGTGGTGATGATAATGGTGGTGATGGTAATGATGATGATGATAATGGTGGTGATGATAATGGTGGTGATGATAATGATGGCGATGGTAATGGTGGCGATGATAATGGTGGCGATGATAATGGTGGTGATGATAATGGTGGTGATGATAATGGTGGCGATGATAATGGTGGTGATGATAATGGTGGTGATGGTAATGATGGTGATGATAATGGTGGTGATGATAATGGTGGTGATGATAATGATGGCGATGGCAATGGTGGTGATGGTAATGGTGGCGATGATAATGGTGGTGATGATAATGGTGGCGATGATAATGGTGGCGATGATAATGGTGGTGATGATAATGGTGGCGATGATAATGGTGGTGATGATAATGATGGCGATGGTAATGGTGGCGATGATAATGGTGGCGATGATAATGGTGGTGATGATAATGGTGGTGATGATAATGGTGGCGATGATAATGATGGTGATGATAATGGTGGTGATGATAATGGTGGTGATGATAATGGTGGTGATGATAATGGTGGCGATGATAATGGTGGTGATGATAATGGTGGTGATGGTAATGGTGGTGATGATAATGGTGGTGATGGTAATGGTGGTGATGATAATGGTGGTGATGATAATGGTGGTGATGGTAATGGTGGTGATGATAATGGTGGTGATGATAATGATGGCGATGGTAATGGTGGCGATGATAATGGTGGCGATGATAATGGTGGTGATGATAATGGTGGTGATGATAATGGTGGCGATGATAATGATGGTGATGATAATGGTGGTGATGATAATGGTGGTGATGATAATGGTGGTGATGATAATGGTGGCGATGATAATGGTGGTGATGATAATGGTGGTGATGGTAATGGTGGTGATGATAATGGTGGTGATGGTAATGGTGGTGATGATAATGGTGGTGATGGTAATGGTGGTGATGGTAATGGTGGTGATGATAATGGTGGTGATGGTAATGGTGGTGATGATAATGGTGGTGATGGTAATGGTGGTGATGGTAATGGTGGTGATGATAATGGTGGCGATGGTAATGGTGGTGATGATAATGGTGGTGATGATAATGGTGGCGATGATAATGGTGGTGATGGTAATGGTGGTGATGGTGGTAGAGCAGAGGAGGCCCTGAAGCATGTGGAGAGTGTTAAGAGAGTAGAGGGAGATGAGAAGTTAGGAGAGGAGAGCGAGAGAGAGAGAGAGAGAGGAGCAGATTCAGATGGAGATTAAAGAGTGTGAAGGAAAGCGCGGTGACATGAGAGGAGAGAGAGAGAGAGTGGAGGGAGCGTGGAGTGGAGCGAGCGTGGAGGGAGCCACTTGCCTCCTCTCTCCGTCTCCCCACTCCTCGCTCGTCCCCGTCGCTCGCCCAGTCCAGGAGCACGCTGAAGGTGTCCCCCCTGGCCGCCTCCCCGGGGTCCATCCCCTCGGGCGCCCTGAGCAGCCGCAGCAGTGGCGGCCGGCTGGACCGCCCGGGGAATCCCTCAGCCCGAGAGGCATCGCCACGAGCGCCCTCTCTGGACCCAGCTCGCCCCGACACCCCCACGGTCCCCGTGTCTGCGGAGGGGATGATGCAGTCGCGGGGGTTTCGGTCAGGGAGTCTGGGAAACTGAGGATCTAGCGGCGCCTCCGAAGAGGGGACCCCTTCCTGGCAAAGGGAGACCCCCACAAACGAAGCTATCCCCTTCATTTTGGGGGGGGGGGGGGGTCCCCTGCATACCCAATTATTCACTGACTTATTTCACTCACCTAGCCACTCGCCCACCGACTCATCCACTCGTCTAGTCACTCACTCACCTACTCATCCACTCACCTAGCCATGCACCCACTGACTGGTCCACTCACCTAGTCATCCACCCACTGATTCATCCGCTCACCTAGCTACTCACCCACCTACTCATCCACTCATCCACTCACACACCTACTCATCCACTCGTCTAGTCACTCACTCACCTACTCATCCACTCACCTAACCATGCACCCACTGACTGGTCCACTCACCTAGTCATCCACCCACTGATTCATCTGCTCACCTAGCTACTCACCCACCTACTCATCCACTCATCCACTCACACACCTACTCATCCACTCGTCTAGTCACTCACTCACCTACTCATCCACTCACCTAGCCATGCACCCACTGACTGGTCCACTCACCTAGTCATCCACCCACTGATTCATCCGCTCACCTAGCTACTCACCCACCTACTCATCCACTCATCCACTCACACACCTACTCATCCACTCGTCTAGTCACTCACTCACCTACTCATCCACTCACCTAGCCATGCACCCACTGACTGGTCCACTCACCTAGTCATCCACCCACTGATTCATCTGCTCACCTAGCTACTCACCCACCTACTCATCCACTCATCCACTCACACACCTACTCATCCACTCGTCTAGTCACTCACTCACCTACTCATCCACTCACCTAGCCATGCACCCACTGACTGGTCCACTCACCTAGTCATCCACCCACTGATTCATCCGCTCACCTAGCTACTCACCCACCTACTCATCCACTCATCCACTCACACACCTACTCATCCACTCGTCTAGTCACTCACTCACCTACTCATCCACTCACCTAGTCATCCACCCACCTACTCATCCACTCGTCTAGTCACTCACTCACCTACTCATCCACTCACCTAGTCATCCACCCACTGACTCATCCACTCACCGACACCTACCACCCCTCCTCACTACCACCCCTCTTCACTACCACCCCTCCTCACTACCACCCCTCCTCACTACCACCCCTCCTCACGACCACCCCTCCACACTACCACTCCTCCCCACTACCACCCACTACCACCCCTCTACCACCCCTCCCCACTACCACCCACTACCACCCCTCCCCACTACCACCCACTACCACCCCTCCCCACTCCTCACACCCACCCCTCCCCACTCTCCACACCCACCCCTCCCCACTACCATCCGCTACCACCCCTCCCCACTACCGCCCACTACCTCCCCACTACCATCCACTACCACCCCTCTACCACCCCTCCCCACTACCACCCACTACCACCCCTCCCCACTCCCCACACCCACCCCTCCCCACTACCACCCACTACCACCCCTCCCCACTACCACCCACTACCTCCCCACTACCATCCACTACCACCCCTCCACACTACCACCCACTACCTCCCCTCTACCACCCCTCCCCACTACCACCCACTACCGCCCCCCCCCCCCCCCCACTACTACACCTCCCCTACCGTAGCTGCGAGGAGGAGGTGGAGGAGGTGGAGGAGGTGAGGCGGTGGTGGTGAGGACTCCGACGACGCGGAGCGAGACCGTGGCGTCCGCCGTCCCGGCCATATTGCGCGCACGGCACCGGTAGACCCCCGCGTCGCCGTAGGAGACCACGGGCAGAGAGAGCACGGACCAGCGGGAGCCGCTATCCGGAGACTCCTGGATCACTGACAAGAGCCAGGAGTGCGAGAGAGATGGTTTTGAGAGAGAGAGAGGGAGAGAGAGACTTTGGACTTTTAAACCACTTTCATTGCAACATCTCCGTTGCCGCTTTCGAGACGGCGTCGCCGACGCCGAGTGTAGCGCTCATCTCGGCCGTGTGCAAGCACCGCCCTTCGTCACGCCCGTAAGCCCGCGTGAAGCTAACCGGTTAAACGGTAACAAGATCGGTGCAGGGGGCCTGACTAGGCACCACCCCCCCAACCGTGCAAGGAATACACGGAGGCGCTCGCCTCCCGGCACAGGAGTGGTCCGTGGGCTCTGGCCCCGGGGCAGTGCCTTGAGCAGACCCCTCAACGTCGACCTTGCAGTTTTTTTTTTGTTTGTTTGTTTGCTTGCTTGCTTGGGCGCGGACGAAGTTGACGAGATCGCGGCGCTCATTCGCCAAGGTAAGGCACCACCGTATGTGAAGCAGCTCCGGTAAACAAAAACAAAAAAAGGGGACGCCTACAAGTTTCCTAAAGATGGATCCCAAACGCCGGAAACAACATTGTGCTGAACCGTGGTGGACACCCCGAGTACTGGGTGGGCCAGATCCTCCTTCGCACCACGAAGACAAAGATCCCCCGTGTAGCCTGCAACAGACTGTAGGGGCAAGTGCTGTTAGCGAGCAGCACCTATGAAGGCCGGAACGGTACACGAGGGGGGTGTGTGGCCAGCACCACGCCCGGCCGCCTTTGTCTCCCTAGTGGCGATGTTTACACACCGCACCGGGTACTCATTTGAGGCTGAGTCGACCTAGGGGAGGCCCGGGAACCGGTTCAGATAATCGTCACTGGTGGTGTTGGCCGTGAGCGGGAATCGAACCCGGGTCGCCAGGTTCATAGCGCATCGTAGCGCTAACCGCTACACTATCACTATACACACAGTGACACACACACAGTGACACACACACAGTGACACACACTCACATCTGATGACCCTGGGCCTATTCTGCTGAGCCACATGGCCGAAGGCAGCTACGGGGGGGGGGGGGGGAGGGGGGGGGGGGCTTGTGCAGGTGCGTCCACTGGGGGCGGCCTCGATCACGGGGAGATAAATTGCCTCTCCATTTCATGTCTGGTAGGGTGGCCAGGTCTATAATTTTAACGGTAGGGTTATTTGAACAGTGAGAGACAGAATAACAACAACAACAAAATCCAGAAAAACGCATGTTAAAAATGTTAATAATTGATTTGCATTTTAATGAGGGAAATAAGTAATTGACCCCCTCTCAATCAGAAAGATTTCTGGGTCCCAGGTGTCTTTTATACATGTGACGAGCTGAGATTAGGAGCACACTCTTAAAGGGAGTGCTCCTAATCTCAGCTTGTTACCTGTATAAAAGACACCTGTCCACAGAAGCAATCAATCAGATTCCAAACTCTCCACCATGGCCAAGACCAAAGAGCTCTCCAAGGATGTCAGGGACAAGATTGTAGACCTACACAAGGCTGGAATGGGCTACAAGACCATTGCCAAGCAGCTTGGTGAGAAGGTGACAACAGTTGGTGCGATTATTCGTAAATGGAAGAAACACAAAAGAACTGTCAATCTCCCTCGGCCTGGGGCTCCATGCAAGATCTCACCTCGTGGAGTTGCAATGATCATGAGAACGGTGAGGAATCAGCCAATAACTACACGGGAGGATCTTGTCAATGATCTCAAGGCAGCTGGGACCATAGTCACCAAGAAAACAATTGGTAACACACTATACCGTGAAGGACTGAAATCCTGCAGCGCCCACAAGGTCCCCCTGCTCAAGAAAGCACATATACATGCCCGTCTGAAGTTTGCCAATGAACATCTGAATGATTCAGAGGACAACTGCGTGAAAGTGTTGTGGTCAGATGAGACCAAATTGGAGCTCTTTGGCATCAACTTAACTCGCCGTGTTTGGAGGAGGAGGAATGCTGCCCTATGACCCCAAGAACACCATCCCCACCGTCAAACATTGAGGTGGAAACATTATGCTTTGGGGGTGTTTTTCTGCTAAGGGGACAGGACAACTTCACCGCATCAAAGGGACGATGGACGGGGCCATGTACCGTCAAATCTTGGGTGCGAACCTCCTTCCCTCAGCCAGGGCATTGAAAATGGGTCGTGCATGGGTATTCCAGCATGACAATGACCCAAAACACACGGCCAAGGCAACAAAGGAGTGGCTCAGGAAGAAGCACATTAAGGTCCAGGAGTGGCCTAGCCAGTCTCCAGACCTTAATCCCATAGAAAATCTGTGGAGGGAGCTGAAGGTTCGAGTTGCCAAACGTCAGCCTCGAAACCTTAATGACTTGGAGAAGATCTGCAAAGAGGAGTGGGACAAAATACCTCCTGAGATGTGTGCAAACCTGGTGGCCAACTACAAGAAACGTCTGACCTCTGTGATTGCCAACAAGGGTTTTGACACCAAGTACTAAGTCATGTTTTGCAGAGGGGTCAAATACTTATTTCCCTCATTAAAATGCAAATCAATTTATAACATTTTTGACATGAGTTTTTCTGGATTTTTTTGTTGTCATTCTGTCTCTCATTGTTCAAATAAATCTACCATTAAAATTATAGACTGATCATTTCTTTGTCAGTGGGCAAGCGTACAAAATCAGCAGGGAATCAAATACTTTTATCCCTCACTGTAGTAGTGGTAGTGAGTAGTAGTAGTGAGTAGTAGTAGTTTGAAGTAGTGGTAGTGAGTAGTGGTAGTGAGTAGTAGTGAGTAATAGTAGTAGTAGTGAGTAGTAGTGAGTAGTAGTGAGTAATAGTAGTAGTAGTGAGTAGTACTAGTGAGTAGTAGTGAGTAATAATAGTGAGTAGTAGTGAGTAATAGTAGTAGTAGTGAGTATTAATAGTGAGTAATAATAGTGAGTAGTACTAGTGAGTAGTAGTGAGTAATAATAGTGAGTAGTGAGTAGTAGTGAGTAATAGTAGTGAGTAGTAGTACTAGTGAGTAGTGAGTAGTAGTAGTGAGTATTAATAGTGAGTACTAGTGAGTAGTAGTGAGTTATAGTAGTAGTGAGTAATAATAGTGAGTAGTAGTGAGTAGTAGTGAGTAGTAATAGTGAGTACTAGTGAGTAGTAGTGAGTAATAATAGTGAGTAGTAGTGAGTAATAATAGTGAGTAGTACTAGTGAGTATTAATAGTGAGTAGTACTAGTGAGTAATAATAGTGAGTACTAGTGAGTAATAATAGTGAGTAGTAGTGAGTAATAATAGTGAGTAGTAGTAGTGAGTAGTAGTGAGTAGTGGTGAGTATTAGTAGTGAGTAGTAGTGAGTAATAATAGTGAGTAGTAGTAGTGAGTAGTAGTGAGTAGTGGTGAGTATTAGTAGTGAGTACTAGTGAGTATTAATAGTGAGTATTAATAGTGAGTATTAATAGTGAGTAATAATAGTGAGTACTAGTGAGTAATAATAGTGAGTAGTAGTGAGTATTAATAGTGAGTAGTAGTGAGTAGTAGTGAGTAATAATAGTGCGTAGTGGTGAGTAATAATAGTGAGTAGTAGTGAGTATTAATAGTGAGTAGTAGTGAGTATTAATAGTGAGTAGTGAGTAATAGTGAGTATTAATAGTGAGTAGTAGTGAGTAATAATAGTGAGTAGTACTAGTGAGTAGTAGTAATAATAGTAATAGTAGTGAGTAATAATAGTGAGTAGTAGTGAGTAGTAGTGAGTAGTAGTGAGTACTAGTGAGTAGTAGTGAGTAGTACTAGTGAGTAGTACTAGTGAGTAGTAGTGAGTAGTAGTGAGTAGTACTAGTGAGTAGTACTAGTGAGTAGTACTAGTGAGTAGTAGTGAGTAGTAGTGAGTAGTAGTGAGTAGTACTAGTGAGTAGTACTAGTGAGTAGTACTAGTGAGTAGTACTAGTGAGTAGTAGTAGTGAGTAATAATAGTGAGTAGTAGTAGTACTAATAGTGAGTATTACTAGTGAGTAATAATAGTGAGTAGTAGTAGTACTAATAGTGAGTATTACTAGTGAGTAATAATAGTGAGTAGTAGTAGTACTAATAGTGAGTATTACTAGTGAGTATTAATAGTGAGTAGTAGTAGTACTAATAGTGAGTATTACTAGTGAGTATTAATAGTGAGTAGTAGTATTACTAATAGTGAGTATTACTAGTGAGTATTAATAGTGAGTAGTAGTAGTACTAATAGTGAGTATTACTAGTGAGTATTAATAGTGAGTACTAGTGAGTAATAATAGTGAGTAATAATAGTGAGTAGTAGTAGTGTCAGTAGTGTTTGTGAGTAGTAGTGAGTATTAATAGTAATAATAGTGAGTATTAATAGTGAGTAGTAGTGAGTAGTACTAGTGAGTACTAGTGAGTAGTAGTAGTGAGTAATAATAGTGAGTAGTAGTAGTGTCAGTAGTGTTTGTGAGTAGTAGTGAGTAGTAGTAGTAGTGAGTAGTAGTAGTGTCAGTAGTGTCAGTAGTGTTAGTGAGTAGTAGTGAGTAATAATAGTGAGTAGTACTAGTGAGTAGTAGTAGTACTAGTGAGTAGTAGTAGTGTCAGTAGTGTTAGTGAGTAGTAGTGAGTATTAATAGTGAGTAGTAGTAGTGAGTAGTAGTAGTACTAGTGAGTAGTAGTAGTACTAGTGAGTAGTAGTGTCAGTAGTGTTAGTGAGTACTAGTGAGTAGTACTAGTGAGTAGTAGTAGTGTCAGTAGTGTTAGTGAGTAGTAGTGAGTAGTAGTAGTAGTACTAGTGAGTAGTAGTAGTACTAGTGAGTAGTAGTAGTACTAGTGAGTAGTAGTAGTAGTGTCAGTAGTGTTAGTGAGTACTAGTGAGTAGTAGTAGTACTAGTGAGTAGTAGTAGTACTAGTGAGTAGTAGTAGTACTAGTGAGTAGTAGTAGTACTAGTGAGTAGTAGTAGTACTAGTGAGTAGTAGTAGTACTAGTGAGTAGTAGTAGTACTAGTGAGTAGTAGTAGTAGTACTAGTGAGTAGTAGTAGTACTAGTGAGTAGTAGTAGTAGTACTAGTGAGTAGTAGTAGTACTAGTGAGTAGTAGTAGTACTAGTGAGTAGTAGTAGTACTAGTGAGTAGTAGTAGTACTAGTGAGTAGTAGTACTAGTGAGTAGTAGTAGTAGTAGTGAGTAGTAGTAGTAGTAGTAGTGAGTAGTAGTAGTAGTAGTAGTGAGTAGTAGTAGTAGTAGTAGTGAGTAGTAGTAGTAGTAGTAGTGAGTAGTAGTAGTAGTACTAGTGAGTAGTAGTAGTACTAGTGAGTAGTAGTAGTAGTGTCAGTAGTGTCAGTGGCTGTACCGGTGGCGTTCAGTGCCCGCCCATCGCCCCGCCCCCACTCCAGCGTGGGCGTGGGCGTTCCGCCCGCGTCACAGCGCAGCAGGAGGCTGGAGCCCAGCGCTGACGTCAGGCTGGAGGCGGAGACCTGCACGCGTGGGGGACGGCACCCACCGGGGGGAGACGGAGTCTGGGGGAGGGGCCAGTGGGGGGAGGGGCATCGGGAGGGTGAGGAGAGGTGGGGGGGAGAAGGAGGTGGGGTGGGGGGGAGGGGCATCGGGAGGGTGAGTAGAGGTGGGGGGGGGGGAGGGGGAAGAGAAGGTGGGGGGAGGGGGGTGGGGGTGGAGGGGCATTGGGAGGGTGAGGAGATGTGGGGGGGGGAGGGGGAAGAGAAGGTGGGGGGAGGGGGGTGGGGGTGGAGGGGCATTGGGAGGGTGAGGAGATGTGGGGGGGAGGGGGAAGAGAAGGTGGGGGGGAGGGGGGTGGGGGGGGGAGGGGCATCGGCAGGGTGAGGAGAGGTGGGGGGGAGGGGGAAGAGAAGGTGGGGGGGAGGGGGGTGGGGGGGAGGGGCATTGGGGGGGTGAGGAGAGGTGGGGGGGAGGGGGAAGAGAAGGTGTGGGGGAGGGGGGTGGGGGGGGGCATCGGGAGGGTGAGGAGAGGTGGGGGGGAGAGGTGGGGGGGGAGGTGGGGGGGAGGGGGTGGGGGAGGGAGAGAGGGAGGGGGAGAGAAGGAGGCGGGGTGGGGGGGAGGGGCATTGGGAGGGTGAGGAGAGGTGGGGGGGAGAGGTGGGGGGAGAGAAGGAGGCGGGGTGGGGGGCGAGATTTATGGACGGTGGTGGTGGTGGTGGTGGGTGGGCGTGGTGGGGGGAGATGTAGGTGACGAAGGGGAGCGGGTGGAGGATGGAGAGGGAGGAGATGGGGAGGGGGTGGAGGAAGAGTGGAGGGATGGAGGAGGAGGTGGAAGGTTGGAGGAGGAGGACGAGGACGAGGAGAAGGAGGTGGAAGGTTGGAGCAGGAGGAGTAGGAGGATGATGATGAGGAGGAGGAGGAGGAGGAGGAGGAGGAGGAGGAGGAGGAGCAGGATGAGGAGGAGGATGAGGAGGAGGATGAGGAGGAGGATGAGGAGCAGGATGAGGAGGAGGATGAGGAGGAGGATGAGGAGGAGGAGGAGGAGGAGGAGGAGGAGGAGGATGAGGACGAGGAGAAGGAGGTGGAAGGTTGGAGCAGGAGGATGAGGAGGAGGATGAGGAGGAGGAGGTAGAAGGTTGGAGCAGGACGAGGATGATGATGATGAGGATGAGGAGGAGGATGAGGAGGAGGAGGATGAGGAGGAGGAGGATGAGGAGCAGGAGGATGATGATGATGAGGAGAAGGATGAGGAGGAGGATGAGGAGGAGGATGAGGAGGAGGAGGAGGATGAGGAGGAAGATGAGGAGCAGGAGGATGACGAGGATGAGGAGGAGGAGGATGAGGAGGAGGATGAGGAGGCGGATGAGGAGGAGGATGAGGAGGAGGATGAGGAGGAGGATGAGGAGCAGGAGGATGATGATGATGAGGAGGAGGATGAGGAGGAGGAGGAGGATGAGGAGCAGGAGGATGATGATGAGGAGGATGAGGAGCAGGAGGATGATGATGATGAGGAGAAGGAGGTGGAAGGTTGGAGCAGGAGGAGCAGGAGAATGAAGAGGAGGATGATGATGAGGAGGAGGATGATGAGGAGGAGTAGAGGGGTGAGATTGAGACTTGAGAGAGGCTGCCTGCAATCCGGCGCGCCAACACCGCCATCGACGACTTCCCAAAATTCGACGTCTCATCAGCAGGCAGCGGGGGGCTCACGGCCGCACGTGGGGGGGCTGGTGGGGGGCTGGTGGGGGGCTGGTGGGGGGCTGTTGGGGGGCTGGTGGGGGGGCTGGTGGGGGGGGTCCCCTACCGCGATGCCGGCCAGCCTCATGGGGACCCCCGCGAGGTCCCCGGGACCCCCGCAGGCCGTGTCGGGGTCCACGAGGATGACCCTGGGGGCAGCCGGGCACGCGTGGCCCTGACCTTGACCCTGACCTCCGGTGGCGCCAATGGCGCTCCGAGCCAGCAGGAAGAGGCGGGAGAGGGAACAGTCGCACAGCCACGGGTTCTCCTGCAGGGCTGCCGGAGACGGGGAGATGGAGACACACGGGGAGAGAGAGAGACACACGGGGAGATGGAGACACACGGGGAGAGAGAGAGAGACACGGGGAGAGAGAGAGACACTGGGAGAGAGAGAGACACACGGGGAGAGAGAGACACACGGGGAGAGAGAGACACACGGGGAGAGAGAGACACACGGGGAGAGAGAGACACACGGGGAGAGAGAGACACACGGGGAGAGAGAGAGACACTGGGAGAGAGAGAGACACGGGGACAGAGTGAGAGACACACGGGGAGATGGAGACACACGGGGAGAGAGAGACACACGGGGAGAGAGAGACACACGGGGAGAGAGAGAGACACACGGGGAGAGAGAGAGACACACGGGGAGAGAGAGACACACGGGGAGAGAGAGAGAGACACACGGGGAGAGAGAGAGACACACGGGGAGAGAGAGAGAGAGACAAGGGGAGAGAGAGACACACGGGGAGAGAGAGACACACGGGGAGAGAGAGACACACGGAGAGAGAGAGAGACACACGGGGAGAGAGAGAGACACGGGGAGAGAGAGACACACGGGGAGAGAGAGACACACGGGGAGAGAGAGACACACGGGGAGAGAGAGACACACGGGGAGAGAGAGAGAGACACGGGAAGAGAGAGACACACGGGGAGAGAGAGACACACGGGGAGAGAGAGAGACACACGGGGAGAGAGAGACACACGGGGAGAGAGAGACACACGGGGAGAGAGAGAGAGACACGGGGAGAGAGAGAGACACACGGGGAGAGAGAGAGACACGGGGAGAGAGAGACACACGGGAGAGAGAGACACGGGGAGAGAGAGACACACGGGGACAGAGAGAGACACACAGGGAGAGAGACACGGGGACAGAGTGAGAGACACACGGGGAGATGGAGACACACGGGGAGAGAGAGACACACGGGGAGAGAGAGACACACGGGGAGAGAGAGAGACACGGGGAGAGACACACGGGGAGAGAGAGACACACGGGGAGAGAGAGACACACGGGGAGAGAGAGAGACACGGGGAGAGAGAGACACACGGGGAGAGAGAGACACACGGGGAGAGAGAGACACACGGGGAGAGAGAGACACACGGGGAGAGAGAGAGAGACACGGGAAGAGAGAGACACACGGGGAGAGAGAGACACACGGGGAGAGAGAGAGACACACGGGGAGAGAGAGACACACGGGGAGAGAGAGACACACGGGGAGAGAGAGAGAGACACGGGGAGAGAGAGACACACACGGGGAGAGAGAGAGAGACACGGGGAGAGAGAGACACACGGGGAGAGAGAGAGAGACACACGGGGAGAGAGAGAGACACACGGGGACAGAGAGAGACACACGGGGAGAGAGAGAGACACACGGGGAGAGAGAGAGACACGGGGAGAGAGAGAGAGACACGGGGAGAGAGAGAGACACACGGGGAGAGAGAGAGACACATGGGGAGATGGAGACACACGGGGAGAGAGAGACACACGGGGAGAGAGAGAGACACATGGGGAGAGAGAGACACACGGGGAGAGAGAGAGACACGGGGAGATGGAGACACACGGGGAGAGAGAGACACACGGGGAGAGAGAGAGACACACGGGGAGAGAGAGAGACACGGGGAGATGGAGACACACGGGGAGAGAGAGACACACGGGGAGAGAGAGAGACACACGGGGAGAGAGAGAGACACACGGGGAGAGAGAGAGACACACGGGGAGAGAGAGAGACACACGGGGACAGAGAGACACACGGGGACAGAGAGACACACGGGGAGAGAGACACACGGGGAGAGAGAGACATTCGGGGAGAGAGAGAGACACACAGGGAGAGAGAGACACACACAGGGAAAGAGAGAGACACGGGGAGTTGGAGACACACGGGGAGAGAGAGACACACGGTGAGATGGAGACACACGGGGAGAGAGAGACACACACAGGGAAAGAGAGAGACACGGGGAGTTGGAGACACACGGGGAGAGAGAGAGAGACACACGGTGAGAGAGAGAGACACACGGGGAGATGGAGACACACGGGGAGAGAGAGACACACGGGGAGAGAGAGAGACACACGGGGACAGAGAGAGACACACGGGGAGAGAGAGAGACACACAGGGAGAGAGAGAGAGACACGGGGACAGAGAGAGAGAGACACACGGGGAGAGAGAGAGACACACGGTGAGAGAGAGAGACACACGGGGAGATGGAGACACACGGGGAGAGAGAGACACACGGGGAGAGAGAGAGACACACGGGGAGAGAGAGACACACGGGAGAGAGAGACACACGGGGAGAGAGAGACACACGGGGAGAGAGAGACACACGGGGACAGAGAGAGACACGGGGAGAGAGAGAGACACACGGGGACAGAGAAAGACACACGGGGACAGAGAGAGACACACACGGGGACAGAGAGAGACACGGGGACAGAGAGAGACACACGGGGAGAGAGAGACACAGGGAGAGAGACAGAGAGACACACGGGGACACAGAGATGTGGATTCGCACCCAGCTGTGCCTCGGTTCCTCCGGGCAGTGTCCGTCCTCTTGGGCACACAATCATCACCATGTATATGTATATGTTTGTTAAAGGGCAAAGTTGTGATTGTGAGTGCGTCGGTTCAAAATGTTTAGCGTACTTCCCGACATGCAACAAACTTGACATTTGCCCACGTGGGTACTTTCCAGACTGTACACCACGCAAACAATTATAAAAATACTCAATAATGCATTTATTTTTATTGCACGGCAAGTGAGCTGTGACGTCAAATCTGTCACGTGACCCGCGCACGTGGAAGCGTAACGCATTGTAGTGTAGTGGTTAGCGCGCTGTGTGTGTATCTGTGTCTGTGTGTGTCTGTGTGTGTGTGTCTGTGTGTGTGTGTCTGTGTGTGTGTGTGTCTGTGTGTGTGTCTGTGTGTGTGTCTGTGTGTGTGTCTGTGTGTGTGTCTGTGTGTGTGTCTGTGTGTGTGGGGGGAGCAGTAGTGTAGTGGTTAGCGCGCTATATGTGTGTGTGTGTCTGTGTGTATGTGTGTATGTGTGTGTCTGTGTGTGTGGGGGGGAGAAGTAGTGTAGTGGTTAGCGCGCTGTTTGTGTGTGTGTATCTGTGTGTGTGTCTGTGTGTCTGTGTGTGTGGGGGGAGCATTAGTGTAGTGGTTAGTGCGCTATATGTGTGTGTCTGTGTGTCTGTGTGTATGTATGTGTCTGTGTGTGTGGGGGGATCAGTAGTGTAGTGGTTAGCGCGCTGTCTGTGTGTGTGTCTGTGTGTATGTGTGTATGTGTCTGTGTGTCTGTGCGTGGGGGGGGGAGCAGTAGTGTAGTGGTTAGCGCGCTGTCTGTGTGTGTTTATATGTGTGTGTGCATCTGTGTGTGTGTCTGTGTATATGAGTCCGGCAAAACAACCCCCTACCTCCTCGCGGTGCAGACGGGCAACTCTGTCGTGGACAGTGCTGTGGGGGGAGGGCCAATTCCTCCCCTCATGGCGTCTGTGACCACCACAGGGGCTAAACGGGGGCTCTGGACGGGTGCGAGGTGCTGGTAACCCCTCCACATTCAATTAATTACCACTAAACCACGAGTTAAACTGAAATATGTAACTAATAAGCTTGTGCCGGAGGCCCCGGGGGGCCAGGCGTCTATGACGTCTCCTGGCCAAACCCCAATTGGCGGAGCCAGGAGATTGAATATCTACCCTCGGGGCTCCTCCAGAAACAACGAAAAGCGACTACGGGTGGCCACGTGGAATGTTCCAACGCTCACTGCGGAGGAGAGGCTGACACTCCTCTGTCGGGAGCTGGACCGGTACCGCCTGGATCTCTGCGGCATTCAGGAGGTCCGGTGGACCGGTTCTGGCTCCTGCCACCATGAGGGGTGGACAGTCCTCTACTCGGGGGCAGCAGACTGCCAAACAACAGGGTGTGGGTCTTCTTTTGAACAAAAGAATGAATGTTGGGGCGTGGGAGCGTTGCGGGGTCAATAATTATTTTTATTTTTTAGTCCGCCCCACTACGCGATCCCGACAGCAACGCGCCTCCACGATCAGACTGTCCCCAACGAGCGCCAGCAGCAGCAGCAGCCAAGGCGAGCCCCGCCGCGCCCACACAGGCGGTGAATTCAACGTGTTTGTGTAATTTTTTTAACTTTTTACAAAAACTGTGTTTGCCCCGAGTAGCCCTCGACGAGGCCAATCGATCGACCGCCAGAGTTTTGTTGTCGGCAAGGCGACGAGATTCGTGTCGCTACGCGGAGTTTCCCACCCACCCACCCACCCACCCACCCCACCCACCCACCCACCCCACCCACCCCCCCCCGGGGGCAGCGATGGGACCCCGGGGGTCCCGCCAATTGCTTCAAATGTTCAAAATAAAATCGAGGTTATAATAATACTGAAGCGCTAAAATATGCACAATTTAACAATTGAACAAGTACACAACCACACAGGTTACAGAGACAGTGAGAGAGAGAGAGAGACACGGGGAGAGAGGGGCCGTCCATAAATGACGTCACGCGATTTTGGACCGTTTTTTTACCCCCCCCCCAAATGTGACGTCACAAAGCTCCGCCCCCCCCAAAAAAAATGCTTCAAATTTTGATTTAAAGTTTTCGTGACTGCTGGGATTCATATTCTTGGTTCTTTCGGTAAAGTCAACACCACCATGAAGGGAAACAATAAAATAATAAAAATATAAAACAATAAAATTATTGTAAAACAATAAAATTATTATTCTTGGTTCTTTCTGTAAAGTCACCACCATGTAGAAGGGAAACAATAAAATAATAAAAATATAAAACAATACAATTATTGTAAAACAATAAAATTATTATTCTTGGTTCTTTCGGTAAAGTCACCACCACGTAGAAGGGAAACAATAAAATAATAAAAATATAAAACAATAACATTATTGTAAAACAATACAATTATTATTCTTGGTTCTTTCGGTAAAGTCACCACCACCACGTAGAAGAAGGGAAACAATAAAATAATAAAAATATAAAACAATAAAATTATTGTAAAACAATAAAATTATTATTCTTGGTTCTTTCGGTAAAGTCACCACCACGTAGAAGGGAAACAATAAAATAATACAAATATAAAACAATATTATTTTATTGTTTCCCTTCTACGTGGTGACTTTACCGAAAGAACCAACAATATGCTTCAAATCGCTTTAAACTATTGTCATTGTGGTGCGTATTTAATGTGGCGCGGCACTCTGATGTTGTAGGAGAAAACATTGATTTAAAAAGTCTATTTAATTTAGTAGAACGTGTTGTCTATATTTATTTATAAAGTTGCGCATTTTGATGTGACGTCACATTTCTCAAACACCACCCCCCCCTCATCGTCACAAATGTCTGATCCCTCCCCCCCCCAAGTGCGTGACGTCATTTATGGACGGCCCCAGAGAGACATGGGAAGAGGGAGTCATGGGGAGAGAGACGGCAAGAGACATGAGGAGAGAGACAACGAGAGAGAGAAAGAGAGAAAGGTAGAGACACGGGGAGAGAGGGTTACGGGGAGGAGATCAGGTTACCAACCCTAATCTCCAGTCGCCACTGGGTGTTCACCCACACGGCCATCGTAAACCCACCCACCAACCCACACGGCCATCGTGAGCCCCACCCACACGGCCATCGTGAACCCACCCACCCACACGGCCATTATAAACCCACCCACCCACACGGCCATCATAAACCCACCCACACGGCCATGGTAAACCCACCCACCCACACGGCCATCATAAACCCACCCACCCACACGGCCATCATAAACCAACCCACACGGCCATCATAAACCCACCCACACGGCCATCGTGAACCCACCCACCCACACGGCCATCGTGAACCCACCCACCCACACGGCCATCGTAAACCCACCCACACGGCCATCGTGAACCCACCCACTCACACGGCCATCGTAAACCCACCCACCCACACTGGCATCGTAAACCCACCCACCCACACGGCCATCGTGAACTCACCCACCTACACGGCAATCATAAACCCACCCCACACGGCCATCGTGAACCCACCCACCCACACGGCCATCGTAAACCCACCCACCCAAACGGCCATCGTGAACCCACCCACCCACACGGCCATCGTGAACCCCACCCACACGGCCATGGTAAACCCACCCACCCACACGGCTATGGTAAACCCACCCACCCACACGGCCATCGTAAACCCACCCACCCACCTACACGGCCATCGTGAACCCCACCCACACGGCCATCGTGAACCCACCCACCCACCCACACGGCCATCGTGAACCCCACCTACACGGCCATCGTAAACCCACCCACCTACACGGCCATCGTAAACCCACCCACCCACACGGCCATCGTAAACCCACCCACACGGCGATGGTAAACCCACCCACCCACACGGCCATGGTAAACCCACCCACCCACACGGCCATCGTGGACCCACCCACCCACACGGCCATCGTAAACCCACCCACCGACACGGCCACCGTACCTAGGATGAGCCGCATTGGTGTCCGAGAAATGGGGGTCGCTGGTCCCGGCTCCGAGTCCCCGTCTCCCTCCAGCCCCTCGCCTACGGGGGCACAGGGGTAGAGGACGGGCCTTCGTCTGTGTCACTCTCTCCCTGTTTCTCGCTCTGCCCGTGTCTCTCTCGCCAACTTCGCCTGCGCTCAGGCGAAGTTGCCGGTGTTACAGAACGAGGAAAAAAAGGACACTGGAAGGTGACACTGGACGGCTGCTCAGCGGTGGGCGCTGTTCCCCCGGTGTTTAGAGGCCTGCTCAAGGCGTGGCTCCGGCTGGAGCACGCCACGTGACACACACACACGCACACGTGACACACACACACACACGTGACACACACACACACACACGTGACACACACACACACACACGTGACACACACACACACACACGTGACACACACACACACACACGTGACACACACACACACACACGTGACACACACACACACACGTGACACACACACACACACGTGACACACACACACGTGACACACACACACACACGTGACACACACACACACACACGTGACACACACACACGTGACACACACACACACCACGTGTCGGTGATGTGTAGAGCGTCTTGTTGGAACGCTGGGGAGCCGGACAAGCCTCTCTCTGTACCGGTGTGGACGGCACCCCTCACGTTCACGTTCTGAGGCGCTCGCTCGTCACCGTGGCGTGCGCGGTGAACACCACCACCACCACCACCACAACCACCACCACCACCACAACCACTACCACCATCACCACCACAACCACCACCACCACCACAACCACTACCACCACCACCACCACAACCACCACCACCACCACAACCACTACCACCATCACCACCACAACCACCACCATCACCACAACCACCACCATCACCACAACCACCACCAACACTACCACAACCACTACCACCATCACCACCACAACCACCACCATCACCACAACCACCACCACCGCCACCACCACCATCACCAGAACCACCACCACCACCACAACCACCACCACCATAACCACCACCACCATCACCACCACAACCACCACCATAACCACCACCACCACCATAACCACCACCACCACGTGACTTTTCTATCGTGTCGTGCGCGGTGATTTTTAGCGCCACAGCGCGTGGATTTGTAGCGTTTATTTTCATTTTGTGTTTTGCTGGTTACTTTGTGTGTTTGTGTTTTGCTGGTGACTTTGTGTGCTTGTGTGTTGCTGGTGACTTTGTGTGTTTCATATCGAAATCGCCTCCGGTGCTGTTTGCTGCTGGCGGCAATAAAAGTTGTTTGAAAGTCAAAACGTCTCTGACCTCGTGAACGCAAGTTCCCCGTGACGCTGTGTTCCGATGACGCTGTGTTCCATTGCGCACGTGACTGTGTGACCTCGTTACCCTGTGAATCTCTGACCCCATGACCCCGCGTATATTTGACCCCATGTGACACCCCGCGTGACCCTTACCCTGTGCCTGTGTTGGCACTGACGACGTCCACAGCTCGAGCAGGTCAGAGGGCAGCGTCACGAGGCGGTTACCAGACAGGTCGAAAGTCGAGAGGTCAGACACGAACCTGCAACGTCATCATCATCAACAACATCAACATGGTCATCAACATGATCATCATCAACATCATCAACGACATCAATATCAACAACAACATCATCAACAACATCAACATGGTCATCAACATAATCATCATCAACATCATCAACGACATCAATATCAACAACAACATCATCAACAACATCAACATGGTCATCAACATAATCATCATCAACATCATCAACGACATCAATATCAACAACAACATCATCAACAACATCAACACGGTCATCAACATAATCATCATCAACATCAATATCAACGACATCAATATCAACAACATCATCATCAACAACATCAACATGGTCATCAACATAATCATCATCAACATAATCATCAACGACATCAATATCAACAACAACATCATCAACAACATCAACATGGTCATCAACATAATCATCATCAACATCATCAACGACATCAATATCAACAACAACATCATCAACAACATCAACATGGCCATCAACATGATCATCATCAACATCAATATCAACGACATCAATATCAACATCATCATCATCATCAACAACATCAACATGGTCATCAACATGATCATCATCAACATCATCAACAACTTTTGATTTAAAGCTTTCGTGACTGCAGTAATTCATATTCTTAGCTCTTTCGGTAAAGTCATTTTTCAAATGTTTCTTGCCGTTGCTTTTCACACCTGATGACGACCGTTTGTGTTATGGTCGAAACGTCGTGAGAATTTTTATTGTTTCATATATATTATTATTCTATTGTTTCCCTTCAACGTGACTTTACCGAAAGAGCTAAGAATATCATCAACGACATCAATATCAACAACGTCATCATTAACAACATCAACATCACACCCTGTGTGTCTATCTCTCTCGCCATGTCTCTCTCTCTCAGCCTCGCCACGTATCTCTCTCCCCGTGTCTCTCCCCCCGTGTCTCTCTCCTCTCTCTCTCGCCACGTGTCTCTCTCTCTCTCCTTCCCTCCTCGTGTCTCTCCCTCGTATATGTGTGTCGCATGTATGTTGAACTCATTTCGCACCGTACGCAGCCAACCGTGCTAAGTGGAGGTGCGGGGGAAAGACGAAAAAAATGTACGCACAACAAGAAATTGTAAAGAAATACATTTTCAATTGAGCATATTGGTGTAGGAATAGGTTTTACCCTTTTAACTGGCACAAAAACTGACACCTTTATTCAAGGCATCATGTTTGCAATGACCACAACACAAGCAGTTAAAATGCAAACAAAAAAGACAACTCTGATAATAATATTGGCACCGTCCTTGAATTTGATTGGTCCACACCCGAGACAGCTTTTCTTATTGGTGTAGTGTAGTGCATAGTGGTCTAGGGTAGATTTGTGTGGCGTATACTAACGTAGTGTATAATAGGGGTGTATAGTAGTGTATACTATCTTCTTTGGTTCTTTCGGTAAAGTCACGTAGAATGATAAAATAATACATTGATAAAATAAAATAACACAATAATATTCTCACGACGTTTCGGCCACAACACAAGCGGCCTTCATCAGGTGAAGGGGGCGAGACTGTCTGGTAGGACAGCGCTGGAGTGAAAGAGCCAAGTTCAGATACGGCCTTTAAGCCTCAAATTTCAGCAGGCTTAAAAGGCCGTATCTGAACGTGGCTCTTTCACTCCAGCGCTGTCCTACCAGACAGTCTCGCCCCCTTCACCTGATGAAGGCCGCGTGTGTTGTGGCCGAAACGTCGTGAGAATATTATTGTGTTATTTTATTTTATCAATTTATTATTTTATTATCATTCTACGTGGTGACTTTACCGAAAGAACCAAAGAAGATGAATCATTGCAGTCACGAAAGCTTTAAATCGAAATTTAGTGTATACTAGTGTAGTATATAGTAGTGCATGCATGTATGCATGTTGAACATCTTTCGCACCGTACGTCGAACAACAAACCAAACACAGCATCAACGAGAGTAAGCAGCAGCAGCAGTTGTAAAGAAATTCTTTCAATTTTTTTCTCTCTCCCCAATTAATCAATCCGTGATTGTGTCAGTCACCGTGCAGACTCGGCGGGCAGGGAGCTGATTCGGTTCCCGTTGAGGTCGAGAAGACGCAGAGACGGAGTCTCCTGAAGACTCTCCCACGGGAAAGACGTGAGGACATTCCCTGAGAGAGAGAGTGAGAGAGGCGAGAGGGGGGGGGGAGAGACAAACGGGGGGAGAGAGACACGAGGAGAGACGCGGGGCACAGAGAGAGAGAGAGTGAGGCACACGTGGAAAGTGAGAGAGAGACACGGGGAGAGAGAGAGAGAGAGACACGGGGAGAGAGAGAGAGAGAGAGACACGGGGAGAGAGAGTGAGAGACACGGGGAGAGAGACACGAGGAGAGACTGGGCAGAGAGAGAGATAGAAAGAGTGACACGGGGAAAGACAAAAACGGTGAGAAAGAGAGAGACACGGGGGGTGGAGAGAGAGAGAGAGACGGGGAGAGAGAGAGAGACACACACACAAGGAGAAATGACACAGGGAGAGAGACACGAGGAGAGACACGGGGGGAGAGACACGGGGAGAAAGAGACACGGGGAGAGAGAGACACGGGAAGAAAAAGACACAGGGAGAGAGACACGGGGAGAGAGACACGGAGAGAGAGACACAGAGAGAGACACGGAGAGAGACACGGAGAGAGAGACACAGTGAGAGAGAGAGACACATGAGGAGAGTGACAAGTGTCTCTCTCCTCCAGCGCTCCGTGTCTCCACATCTCCGTGTCTCCGTGTCTCCACATCTCCGTGTATCTGCGTCTCGGTGTCTCCGCGTCTCGCATCTCTGCGTCTCGTCTCAATCTCATCTCCATCTCTTCTCCATGTCTCCACATCACCGTTTCTCATCTCTGCATCGTCTTCGTGTGTCCGTCTCTCAGTTTCTCCGTGTCTTAACCCCGTCTCGTCTCCGCATCGTCTCGGTATCTCCGTCTCTCAACCCCGTCTTGTCTCGGTATCGTCTCCGCGTCTCCGTCTCTCCGAGTCTCAACCCCGTCTCGTGTCCGTGTCTCAGTCTCTCCGTGTCTCAACCCCGTCTCGTGTCCGTGTCTCCGTCTCTCCGTGTCTCAACCCCATCTCGTCTACCGCATCGTCTCCGTCCCTCCGCGTCTCCGCATCGTCTCCGCATCGTCTCCGCATCTCCATGCCTCAACCCCGTCTCGTCTCCGTGTCTCCGTGTCTCAACCCCGTCTTGTCTCGGTATCGTCTCCGTGTCTCCGCATCTCCGTGCCTCAACCCCGTCTCGTGTTCGTGTCTCCGTCTCTCCGAGTCTCAACTCCGTCTCGTCTACCGCATCGTCTCGGTGTCTCCGTCTCTCCATGCCTCAACCCCGTCTCGTCTCCGTGTCTCCGTGTCTCAACCCCGTCTTGTCTCGGTATCGTCTCCGTGTCTCCGCATCTCCGTGCCTCAACCCCGTCTCGTGTTCGTGTCTCCGTCTCTCCGAGTCTCAACTCCGTCTCGTCTACCGCATCGTCTCGGTGTCTCCGTCTCTCCATGCCTCAACCCCGTCTCGTCTCCGTGTCTCCGTGCCTCAACCCCGTCTCGTCTACCGCATTGTCTTCGTGTCTCCGTGTCTCCGAGTCTCAACCCCGTCTCGTCTCTGCATCGTCTCCGTGTCTCCGTCTCTCCGAGTCTCAACCCCGTCTCGTCTACCGCATTGTCTTCGTGTCTCCGTCCCTCCGCGTCTCCGTCTCGTCTACCGCATCGTCTCCGTGTCTCCGTCTCTCCGTGTCTCAACCCCGTCTCGTGTCCGTGTCTCTGTCTATCCGTGTCTCAACCCCGTCTCGTCTACCGCATCGTCTCCGTGTCTCCGTCTCTCCGTGTCTCAACCCCGTCTCGTGTCCGTGTCTCCGTCTCTCCGTGTCTCAACCCCGTCTCGTCTCCGCATTGTCTCCGTGTCTCCGTCTCTCCGTGTCTCCGTCTCTCCGAGTCTCAACCCCATCTCGTCTACCGCATTGTCTCCGTGTCTCCGTCCCTCCGCGTCTCCGTCTCGTCTACCGCATCGTCTCCATCCTGCCTCTGCGTCTCGCCTCGGTGCCTTTCCCGCGTCACCGTACCGGGCAGGCGAAGCTCCCGGAGCAGCTTGAGGTTGAAGAAGGCGCCGTGCGAGATGCTCGACAGCCGGTTGCAGGACAGCGTGAGGGAGCGCAGCTCCGGCAGGTAGTAGAACGACTCGGACGGCACCCGGCGGACAAGCGTGCGGGACACCAGCAGGCGGACAGAGTCGCCCGGCACGTCCCAAGGCAGGGTGGACATGTCCGGGTCCGTGCACAGCACAGAGCTGGAGAGACAGAGAGAGAGAGAGACACAGAGAGACGGGGAGCGAGAGATGGACGGTGGGGGGAGAGACAGGGATAGAGAGAGATGAGGAGAGAGAGAGAGAGACAGAGAGACGGGGAGCGAGAGATGGACGGTGGGGGGAGAGACAGGGATAGAGAGAGATGAGGAGAGAGAGACAGAGAGATGGGGAGCGAGAGATGGACGGTGGGGGGAGAGACAGGGATAGAGAGAGATGAGGAGAGAGATGAGGAGAGAGAGAGACGGGGAGCGAGAGATGGACGGTGGGGGGAGAGACAGGGATAGAGAGAGAGAGAGACACAGAGAGACAGAGAGATGGGGAGCGAGAGATGGACGGTGGGGGGAGAGACAGGGATAGAGAGAGAGAGAGACACAGAGAGACAGAGAGATGGGGAGCGAGAGATGGACGGTGGGGGGAGAGACAGGGATAGAGAGAGATGAGGAGAGAGATGAGGAGAGAGAGAGACGGGGAGCGAGAGATGGACGGTGGGGGGAGAGACAGGGATAGAGAGAGAGAGAGACACAGAGAGACAGAGAGATGGGGAGCGAGAGATGGACGGTGGGGGGAGAGACAGGGATAGAGAGAGAGAGAGACACAGAGAGACAGAGAGATGGGGAGCGAGAGATGGACGGTGGGGGGAGAGACAGGGATAGAGAGAGATGAGGAGAGAGATGAGGAGAGAGAGGGGCGTGCCGGCCTTCAAGGAGCAAGTGGGCGCTGGAGGAGGGCCGTGTGCTCGGTGGCAGATGACGGAGAGCTCTGCGTGCAGATTGTGAGCTACCCGTCGGAGGCCGTTTGAATGTGGTGAAGGGCTGCGTGCAGATGCAGCACTTGTCGTAGTTTTTAAATATATATATTTTGTTGGGTCTTTCATTTAAAAGCGGGGGGCGGGGGGGTTTACATAAAGCAAAGCATTGAAAAAAAAACGAAATGATGAACGAAGCAAAGTGTGCAGTGACACTTTTGCCGCAGCAGATGTACGGAAAATCTGGCGTCTGTGCAGGACCGCCCTTGCCTGAAATCGCATCGGGGCTCCGCAAGCATCTCCTCAACTCGCCTGGCAAGGCGGTGTTGAATCATTCCTGCCAGGACCTTTCCCGCCGCACTGAGGAAGGAGATTCCTCGGTGGTTGTTACAGTCTGTGCGGTCCCCCTTCTTAAAGAGTGGGACTACCAGGGCATCCTTTCCAATCCTACGGAATCCGTCCAGTGGTCCAGACTTATGGTGATGTCATGTAGGGCAGTCTGCACAGAAACACCGTCCTCCCTTAGCAGTTCGCTTGGGAGATCATCTCAGTCCCAGAGCTTTTCCTGGTTTCAGACACTGGATTGCCTTTTGTACTTCCTGAACAGATGGCACTTCAGCCACTCACAGGGGGTGACTACTTATTCCAATATTTGAGGCACCGTAGCCTCAGGAGGGTCATCCCCACTTTGCCCCATAATGTTTCCAGACTGAGGGATTTCCCCTCCCGCAAGACCTCACAGAAATGCTCAGCAAATCAGAAAAATTGTTCCTGGGGGGGGGGGGGGGTCAGAGGTCAGGTGACATTTCTTTCCCCGAATGATGGTCAGAGATGTGTCACTGCAAGTCACTTTTTAATGGAATTAACGAGTGATCTGTTGCCACGAGCGACTGAAGCAGATTCCATCTCCTCGGAAACCCACGACCACCTCTCGTGCTTGCAGTGCTGCATATCTCTCCGAACGTCTGAGTGAATGCTGCGAAAAGCCTCCTCATTCTCCGACATGGGATGCTGTAGATGGTCGGAGTGGGCCTGTCGCTTTCTGCCAGCCAGCCGGAACACCTCCTCCATCAGCCAGGGTCTCCAGGAACGTATGGACTGCGGTACCAAACGCGGCCATTGCAGCTGCATGAACCACAGTCCTCAAACTTAGCCATTTCCCCTCGGCATCAGAAGTAAAGTGGGACGATGCCAACAACCACCTGCACGTGATAATGAAATTCTCACTTGCAACTTTCATCAGCAATCTGAGACCAGGCCACTGTGGGCTTGAATTGGGTCTTAGATGGACACCCACTACCGATGACAAGTCGATGGTGAGTGGGCAGATCAGCTCCACGGTAGGTCCTGGAGCCAAGGGAATGTGCCCGCATCCGCTGTTCCATCACTATATAGTCCGGCAGATGTTCTTGCTTGAACCCGGTGTGCATCCATGGTGTTGTGTTGGTAATTACAAGCCCATGGGCTGCACAGACGTCTAGTAGCCTCCTACCGTCGTTATTGAGCTGATTTGGCCCATGCCTTCCAATAGATCCAGCCCAGGTGCCAGTGTCATGACCTACATGGGCATTGCAGTCACCCACCAGGATGACTTTAGCTAACACTTGTGACAGGAGGTCATAGAAGGCATCTAACTCATCAGTCTCACCTTCATCCCTCTACTCATGTTCGTCTTATGTCGGGGCATAAGCAACCACCACCACCACCACCATTCCTTGCTTCACGTTGATGGGGAGGCGAGCTCACAGTACCCTGGGGCTTACAGATTCATACATCTCACTGGAACTCTCCCACACACTGCCAAGCAAAAGCTTGGCAGCTTTTGCCCCGAGTAGAGGACTGTCCACTCCTCACGGTGCCTGGAGCCAGAGCCGGTCCACCGGACCTCCTGAATACCACGGAGATCCAGGCGGTAGCGGGTCCAGCTCACGACAGAGGAGTGGCGGCCTCTCCTCCGCAGTGAGCGTTCGAACATTCCCACGTGGCCACTCGCAGTGGCTGTTTTTTTTTTTTTGCCACCTTCCGGAGGAACCCCGAGGGTGCGTATTCAGTCTCCTGGCTCCGCCACATGGGGTCTGGCCAGGAGACGTCATTTGGTGCCTCCGGTACAAGCTTTTAGTTGCATTTGTTCCACGCAGTTTTAGTGGTGCTTAGTTTGAACGTGGACCAGCCCCCTGACACTTGTGCTGCGGCGAAAATGAGGACTCGGAGGCGGGTCTTCGTTTCAGGGGCTTGCGCGACGTTCATTAGGGGCTTGCGCCAGTTGTTTTTATTAAGGGCCTCCTCTCTCTTCGCACGCGACTCCGTTGTACTGCCCACCCACTGCCTACGCTCCACACCCCGGGGCGAGGGTACCGGGGGAGGTCCCTAGCACGCCCGCAGGCTACCCCCAGCCTGGTGCCAATTTCCCCCTACCCCTGGGTCGCGACTTTGACCCTTCACGAGCCCCGCAACACGTTGACGGGCTCCAGCTCAAATCCCCCGGGGGGACCGCACGGCGTCACCGTCCCGCCACCCCCCCCCCCCCCCCCCCCCCCCCCCCCCCCCCCCCCCCCCCGGCTTGCGCGTGGTGTCACCGTCCGTGACGTCATCGTACCAGTTGGCGAGCGTGACATGACGTCACTAACCACTACTCCACACTTGTACAGAGGCCCCCCCCGTTGGCCGCTGTGGTGGCTACGAACGCCACGAGGTGAATAGCCAATCGGATTTGGCTTCACACCCACCCACCCCCCTTCCCGACCACCACCACCACCACCATGGCAATGTCCATCACAGCGTTATCGTCCGGCACCGGTGGCGAGGAGGTAGGGGATTGTTTTTGCCGGACTGCTTTCCACACACACCAAAAACCTACCGCCGCTCATTCACCAAGCCCTGGACACTCCCATCGCCACCGCCACCACCACCACCACCACCATGGCAATGTCCATCACAGCGTTATCGTCCGGCACCGGCGGCGAGGAGGTAGGGGATTGTTTTTGCCGGACTGCTTTCCACACACACCAAAAACCTACCGCCGCTCATTCACCAAGCCCTGGACACTCCCATCGCCACCGCCACCACCACCACCACCACCACGTCTTACCGGGTCCCCCTGTCGCCCCCGCGACCCGTGTAGACGCAGCTGCACTGGGCCGGGCACGCCGCGCCTGCACCACCCACCAACACCAACACCACCAGCAGCAGCAGCGGCGGCAGCAGCGGCAGCAGCGGCAGCAGGCGCAGGGTCAGGAGGAAGAGCAGCAGGGAGGTCTGGGGGGGCCGCCCGGGGGTCTCGAGAAGCCGTGGGGCGTTCCTGCTCAAGGTGGTGGTGGAGGTGGTGGTGGAGGTGGTGGTGGAGGTGGTGGAGGTGGTGGTGGTGGTGGTGGAGGTGGTGGTGGAGGTGGAGGTGGAGGTGGTGGAGAAGATGGTGGTGGAGGTGGTGGTGGAGGTGGTGGTGGAGGAGGTCGAGGAAGGTGAAGCGGTGGAGGTGGTGGAGGATGAGGAGGTGGAGGTGCGGGAGGAAGAGGTGGAGATGGGGGAGGAGGAGGGGGTGGAGGTGGAGATGGGGGAGGAGGAGGGGGTGGAGGTGGAGGAGGTGCGGGAGGAAGAGGTGGAGATGGGGGAGGTGGTGGGGGAGGAGGTGGAGATGGGGGAGGAGGAGGTGGAGGAGGTGGAGGTGGGGGAGGAAGAGGTGGAGGGGGTGGAGGTGGAGGAGGAGGAGGTGGAGGGGGTGGAGGAGGTGGAGGTGGAGGAGGTGGAGGTGGGGGAGGAGGAGGTGGGGGAGGTGCGGGAGGAAGAGGTGGAGATGGGGGAGGAGGAGGTGGAGGGGGTGGAGGAGGTGGAGATGGGGGAGGAAGAGGTGGAGGGGGTGGAGGTGGAGGAGGAGGAGGTGGTGGAGGTGCGGGAGGAAGAGGTGGAGATGGGGGAGGAGGAGGTGGAGGAGGTGGTGGTGGAGCAGGAGAAGGATGGGGTGGGGAAGGAGCAGGCCGGGGTGAAGGAGGTCGAGGTCACCATCCCTGCACGAGACAACCAGAGAGGGAGGTTCATCAGTCAACTGTGGTGGTGGTGGTGCCGATAATGGGCGCTGGA